TCATATTCGATGTCGCGCTCAACGTTTGATTTGTACGCAGGCATGCTCTCGGCCCACACAAGCCATCCAGGGAAGTCATGATCAACATAGTACTCAGCCTCCGGTTTGGCAAAGCTCGATAGATACTCCTCCGTCCAACCCTTGTTGTGTCGCTTGGTAGCCACATTGATCTTAGAAGGGAAGTGTTGATGGCCCAGAATGTAATTTTTGTAATCATGGTTGCAAATAGCCCTAACATCAACCATCGTGAATAAGGCGATGAGAGCTTGAGAATACATGCCACGCAATCCCGGATGATCATCGATAGACCCTTGGGTTACGAGATCTATCAGATTATCACTTGCAACGTAATCAAACCTAAGACCCATCGTGATTACGATGGTGGCTGCTCGGCTGGCGACTTTCCAATGCGATACTCTGGCCAGATTTACCAGTTCTTCAGCCAGGTCAGCTTTCTTCTTTTCAATGATGGCTCGCTTGCTGTTGATATTCTTGCGCTTATGCTGGATCTCGTCTTGAACATCCTTCTTCGGAGCGATCGCCTCAACGATGTTCCGGTCAAGAATGGCCATCCTTTCCATAGCGCGGCCATAGTCCATGATCTGATAAACCGCGCCCGAGCAAATTTTTTGCACAGAAGGTTTGTCGACTGCGCTTGCGTCGATGAAAGTTCTTACCAAAGTGGGGGCGTACTTCCAATGGCGGCCTACCGTCTTCGCGACGCTGCTCAGGAGTAAAGAAAACAAGGCACCCTTGATCCGGGCGTGGTCGTTTTCTTTGATGCCTTTCTGCAGAGCCTTGATTAGGGGCGGGATAACAAGGAGGCGAGCCCCCCACACAGCTTTAAGAGCAGACTCTCCTGCGCTTTGAGCATTACGCCGAGTCTCAGTATAGAGGGAGACGCAAGATTCTGCGATATCCAGGAGTAGGATCTCGTCTAGCTGAGACCGCCGCCGAGGGGCTGCATTGTGCCTCAGGCGCTGTAAGTGGTAGACATTAGCTCTGCGAACCAATAACGGACGAGGGTAGTCTTTGCGAATGCCACTCATTTTGTAGGGGTGAATGTCTGCGGCGAGGAGACGCGTGACCCTGTCGAGGACATGAGCAGATTTTTCAATGCCAACGTCCACGAACCATGACCGATAAGCCGAGTACAGGGCGCTGAAGCAAGGCACATCATCTTCCTGCTTGTCCGACAAAAACCTATGCACTTCATGAAGGACCCAGCCTGCTCTCTCCCGGATGTCATGAATGGTAGTGTACATCGAATCCGTCTCCTTTAGTGGATAGCCGGTAGGGTACGAAAATGATTCTCTAACTGTGGCTTCGTCCGAGCTGTCAAGTAATGAATCGGGGTCTTCAACCTGGGAGCCATCTTCACCATCTTCCATATCAATATCGGTCGATGGTTTAGATGACCCATTCACTCCATTCGCTTTCGTCTGCGACGCGGCCTTTGGATCAAATAAAACAGAGATACCAGAAATGATAAGTCGTAGGAGGACTAAGTTCCTAGTAACCTCATCCGACCACGTTTTACCACTCCCATCTCGTTTGACACTGGATGTCTCATTGGTGAGATCGGCTAGTTGCTTGAGGGCAGACTCAGCCTGGCTCTTGAATAACTCGACGGCAAATTCCAGTTCTTCACGTTTTGGTACATGCCATTTTACGGTCAAATTATTGGGATCTGGCTGATAGCTCCAAAGCTCAGGTTGTACACCCCGAGCAGCGACGTCGGGCTCATACAAGGAGTAGTCCGCAGTATAAGTGCCCGTGAGGTTTAAGAGAAGGTGATGCACATAGTTTGAGATATGAACAGTCGGTATGCCCCTACATTTCTGTTGCATATACACGGCAATGTCGAAGAGCTCTTTTCTGTGAGCTAGCACAGCATCGCCGACATGTACAACGCACATGCTCAGCATACTAACATTCCAAACCAAGCCACGGTCTCGCGGAAGGACGTCCGTTCCAGTGGTCCTGGTGGAACCTGCGCCATTGTCGTCGATCTCAGTACGGATAGCTTGTATCAGCACTGGGATAAACCGCTTCAGAGCCTTTTCTGGGTTGACCTTGCAAACCGAGTTACAGATAAAGGCCATCGCATCCCGCGCTTGATGAATAACGTGATTCGACACGAAGTCTACAACCTTTGACAGGGCAATATCGTAATACTCTGGGGAAAGGGACGACAGAAGCGGCATGAATGTGGCAGGTAGCGTATTCACAATGTTCTCTTCGGGAGACCCATTGCGGACCCTGCTCACGTCCGGTAAATTCTCCAGTAGAGTAAAGACCCGCCCGAGAAACGATATGATGAAATCACCAAAGCCACAGGTTGAAGAACGGAGGATCATTTCTTCGGTTTCGTCATCCAAATCCCGATCGTAGTTGAGTTGCACCTCAACGCCATCTTCTTCCATACGCTCCATTTCACCCGAGATCCATTGCATCGCCAGCATGTTACAGTTTACGTCTTCCCTCCCTTGTGTTAGGTCGGCCAAGGGTATGTTATAGCAGGCAGACTGGATGAAGGATAAAGCATGTAGAGATTTCTCAAGGTCATTGGCATCAACTCCGGGCAGCGCAAGTCCCAGCAGAGTTGTCATGTGGCAGCGATATCCCTTCGTCCTTGAAATGATTCGTGAAAGAACTTGAAGGGCACGGAGCGATGACGTCGTGCGGTGAACTTCTACTAAGCCTTGAAGGGATGGATATATACGTTGCAAAGCTCCGGGAAGGATGAGATGTGGTTCCAGGAAGGCCAAACTTTGTAACGTAGACAATGAGAAGCTCATTGCCGTACCACTTTTGGCGTAGATACCCATGAATATGACATCACGGAGACAGAGTACAAAGCGATGCTTCAGGGGCTCCGTCAATCTTCGCTCTGCCGGGGTTTCCATCTCCCCGCTTTGCTCTCGATTCCATCTCATGATGAAAAAGTCGGCGAGGTAGTAGACGAGCTGTGACAAGGTCTTCGTCCAACTGCCAGAGTTCGAAGGATGGAAGAATGTTTCCACCGCCTGTATAAGGCCCTCTAGTTGCGTGAGAATAGATTCTTCGGCGTCGAGGCATGCGGGAGAGAGCGACATCACGACCCATCGAGCAATGTGATGCGCCACTGGATGCTTCCTGGTATCTCGGTCAAGCATGATGCCTAGCCCAGACGAGATATCCACCAGCGCACTGTAAGGAGAAGTGGATTGTCCTACAGGAATCTCCAACAATCTCAGTATAGCCGTGAAGATGAGGGATGACTGTTCCTTCGTGAAAAGACCAAATTCGGAGAACGGTATATGCTGGGCAGGCAACGAATCACGGGCCAGCCTCGAAAGGTAGTCAAGGAAGGTGGTATCAAATGTCTTCGACCGATTGACTAATGCCCAAAGATGAAAGTACGTCGGCAAGTAATGATGTGGCAGTAGGTCTTCCCTGGTCTCGGGCGCAGGTGACGTCGGGAGTAGCAAGTTTATCAACCCAACTACGACAAACGCACCCTCCGAAAAGGACGTGGTATAATGAGGAAGAAACTCTTCCAGCATAGCTGGCAGCTCACATGGGTCAATGTACAGCTGGACGAACGCACAGAGCTTCGTCAGTGTCTTTACGTTCCTCTTTAGATTCGTAGAATGCACCAAGCCCGATTCTGTAGGTAACACAAAAGCTTTTAGTTCCCTGTAAAGAGGCTTCCAGTCCAGAGTCAGGTCCTTAACGGGCCTCAGATAATGCTTGCGTCTGTGCCGATATCAGTACTATAGTAAAGAACAGTAGTTATGGCAAGTTTAGCTTACTTGGTGAGGAGCATAAACATGCTAGCAAATCTCTCTGAGACATTGGGATCGATCCCCGGGGCGAGAGAAAGCTCATAATACAGCCTCACAAGGTTGATACGGTCCGTACGGGACGGGTCAAACTTGAGAGACAGCCATCCTCTAAGTTCCCGAGTCCAGTGCACAGCACCAGGACTGAAATCACCCGCCTCCACAGCAACATAAAGCTGGGCCAGGATCTCTCGTAGACTCCGTTCCCTCTCGGTTTCATTTTCGAGCGAGTATGGTAGATATTTAAAATAGGGATAGGTGCGAGGACGGACTCGTGCCTTGGGCTCGCCATTCCCGTTCATCCCTGCAGTCTCACCACCCGGTGGGGTAGCTCGTGATACTTCGTGCGCATTATGAAAATTTTCTGATGTTAAAATGGCCTTCGAGGCTGGGTGATCCATCGTCATACAATAAGATCGATGATCACTGCGGTGCAGGTGTTGGGGATGAGTGAGGTTCGGGAGAGGTCTGGAAGATTCAATGTTAACTACTTTCGTTCGAAGACATAAATAACAATAGCGCGTAGACGGGCGTTTGGCAGTATGGACTTACATTGGACATGAAGATTGTAGCCCAAAGTCCAGCTGTGAAGATCGATGACAAAGAGTGACTTACTGCCAATTATGTTTGCATGGGCAACAGGAAGGGTCTTGGCTAGTAGGACGACCGGGTACAGCAATAGAAGCTTTGGAACGTTCAGAAGCTAGTACAAACAATGAGGAAAGTCCTCCGATGAAGACAGATTTCGTAGACGGGGCTGCAAGGAGGGGTGTGTGCTGTCCGTGTCGCAATAAAATACAGCTCCGGCAGTTTGGGAAATCATTCAGTTTAAGCTTCAGTGCAGCAGTTGAAAGAAGGTAGAAGAGGTATCCATTATCACTCAGTGAGTTAAGTTTCTGATGACATAATTCCACGTAACTGCACCGCAGCCTAACCTCAGACACTAAGCTCTTTCCGTCCGCCTACCCAAAACGGGAAATCTTCCATGAGATTGAACAAGAGCACTTTATATACTTTATATAACAATACTTGTACCTTTTATTGTATGATTATAATCACTTGAGCGATGAACGCCTCGCATGTAGGCAATGGAGATAAATTTAAATATTAGGTATTAAGCTCTTATTATAAACTCATCCTTCAAAGACGAAACCTTTGGAGTATCGACAAAACCTAAGCTGGTGGCAGGAAGGATCCAAAAAGAACTGCCTGAACAACTGCATAGATCACCATGCCTTGTACAGCAATCGTGAAAGTTTGACTGCGCTTAACAAGGCTACTAGGACCCGCAACATGGCTGAGAACCTTACATATAAGGTACCAATACCAGAGAGGATACCCAGAGGATATCCGATTGATGATCTGAACATGATAGCTAGTAAATGCCATCACGGCAAGTAGACCGTTGGGCGCTGCAAGCCGTGTCAACAACGAAGTCCCTGTATCTGAAGGCCACGTCGTGTTTAACGCCCAGATAGACGAGCGACACAGCAAGAACAACATGGGAAAGGCCAGGATAAAAAGAGGCAGATTGGAAAGTGTCCAGTACCGTAGGAACCCTACATTCCTGCAGGGAGTGTCAGTAATTGATTGCTCCTAGATCATGGCGTGTCGGTCACTGACCAATAATGAACCTGAACCCAGCCATAAATACTAGGTATGAGCTGTTCACACCACGGTCGCAGAGGCTCGTCAGACATGCAAAATGCTGTGTACGCAATCCACTGTGGCACAATGAGCCCCAAGGCTACTACACACCCACCGACCACAATGACACCTAGGCGAAGCAAATTATCCCCGGATATACCTTGGGAGATAATCATGCGCAACTGTAGCAGCGCGTCATATGCAAATAGGGCCCCGCTAAGGATTCCATTGCTGCGGACTGCCGTGGCTATTGATAATAATGCGGCCGCGAGTAACAGGTTCGCATCACTGGACGCCCGCTTACCAGCGTTGGCATCAAGCAGGGAGGCCGAATATAGATAATACCCAGTAATGTTGAGAAAGGAGAATAATGATTCTCCGTAGGGTGCAGAGAGAAATGCCCCTGCAGGGCAGATAATGTGTAAGGCAGCAGAAAGAAAACTAATTAACCTCCCTGAGGTGCTATCATGACCAAAAATGTTGATGGATAGTCTGTATAGAGCCAATACCGAAAAGTAATGGGTAATATGGGAAAGGGTAATTGCAACCAGTGCGACTTTGGCAACACCGTCCAGGCCACTGAATTGAGGGAGAGCTTTGCCTACTATTAGCAGCTGTCTACCGCAGGACATGAAGAAATGGATATACCGGATGTTAGAAAGGAGATGAGTCTAGTGTACCCATAGCCAAATGCCCATTCTTGTTCAAAGACATAGTCATCCCGCACAATATGTATAAAGTATATTGAATCCCACCTGACCAGCTTCAAAGGAGATGAGAAGGGCGCATGCCTAATGACTTCCAATTTGGCATCGGAAGCAGCGGATTCCTGGTAAGGTAGCAGCCCGGTGGAAGTATCATAACCAGGCCCCGGGCAACCAATGATAACCAGAAACAGAAGAGCCTTCCACAACCAGAAGGCTAGTGATAGACTCCTAATGGGATTGTCGGGATTCAAGAGTTTTGGGTGGACTAAGGCCAGGCCGGTAGCCATACCTTACAAGATCCCCAGGGGACTTGATATCGAGATAGTCTAGTATTAGGTTAGTCCCGTTTCTTCCACCTCATACCATGTAAAGATATCTATGAGGGGTTTCTTGGGCTCTAAAACCAAGGGTCCACCGGCGCAAAACCGTTTTAGAAAAGAAAAAAGAAAAAAAAAAAAAGAGGAAGATTAATAATGATAAGGATCAGTATCACCGGCCGAGGTACAGCTGCTAAACTGTTCCCCAGTCAAGTAGCCTTAACTGATGATGGTTGGAAGTCGAACGGCAAGTGGGGATTCGGAGTTTTCGGCAGAGAAGCATAACTTAAGCGATGCCTTATTCAGCATTCCAATGCATAACTTGGAACCCGACTTAACGTAATACTAGTAGACTAACGAAACTAATTTAGCCAATTATGTGCGTAGTTGAAATCCTTGTAGTCGCCACAATGATGGATCATGCTTAAATCTGATGGGCTGAAAGCTAGATGGTAAATAGTGTAAGTTAGTAATTAAAACGGATGTGTCGATGTCATCTTCTTTTGAATTCATAACTGAGCTGGAAGAATGGCCACTTGAACAACAGTATCCATGGCATATACTAGGCTACAATATTATGTCACGAACATCCGAGGTGTATGTAACTTTACCCACCAAAGGGTGGATGTCCTTTCCCACCGAGTTCTGGAAAGTGATTAACATGTCACCAACCCTACCTTGGGATCAACCAGCGGTCGATTCAGCCCTACGAAAAGCCCAGTCCACTGACAGACCCGAATATATTCAGTCCATTGGATACCTTTCCTCAATACCACAATTCGTAGTCACACATCATTTCAAGAAATAAAAAATAATTTAAAATAATGTACAGATGGACGCAGAGGGAATCATTCTGCTGACGGTGATAGGGTCATTCTTTACCAATCTCTGGCGTGTCAACAAATAGCACTTTATTTTAAGTTGCATCATAGCGCTGGGAGATCATCTCTGGGAGACATGACCATACCATATATTCCCACGGCTTGATTACGACTCCGAGTCCGAGGACAACAGGTCCGATTCCGAGGACTAGCGGAAAGAGTAAGTGATATATCCCGCATGGTATCGATCAGAGATTTTTATTTAGCGTGATGGAGACACGCAAATCTAATCTAGTCCCAATGCCCCATAGAGAACGAAATTTAATTTCCCTGAATCTAGGAGGGCTACGTTGCAGGTCCCATTTTGGGTCACGCGCTCGAAATGTGGCACTCCACAATGACTACCCAGTAGCAGTATGTAAGTACTGTACATGTACTCCGTACTATTGTGCATACTACAAGTAAACCTATCGGGATGTCTGATGTCACTGTCAAGTTTTGGTCTTTTCAATAGAAACCCCTCGGGGGGCCTAGGCGTTTTCTCGTCGGTGGCGATAGCATCTTATGATGATCACTATATGATCGTATGCATACAACCCCTACCACGCTGTGGAGCATTTTCTGCATCATCACCGTAGGGCTGTCACATGAGGTTAATAATTTATGCTTATGATGACCGTTCTGATTATTCTTTTGCTGAAATAATCATCCAAGGAGTAGGAGGGGGAGGGAGAAGAGAGAGGGAAAAATGGGCACACCAGCCGCTGGTGGGGTGGTGCTTCCATCCAAATAGTAACTATGGGCCCTCTTTCTTTTCCCCCTTTCCCTGGCTACTACTGTACAATGTACCGTAATAATGCCAAGGCCAAAAGTACCTGAGCCCAAGAAGAATCCGTGTTTTAAAAGTCCCCTTTGACTCTAAGTATAGAATCATCAACTACGGAAGGAAGAAGGTTCCAGAGCATTATCAATGTCATACAAGGGTAGAGATTTTATCGTTTATTAAGGGTCAGAGACGGTGCAACTGAGAGATGGGAGACAAGGTAATCCGTACCTTAAGTTAACCAGTAAATGGAGCTCTAAAGAATGGGTCTGACTTGGGGAGTGGATGGTTCGATCACCGCTGGATATGGGCTGCCTTGCCCGAGCCAAGAGTCTTATCCATGGACAGACACATTGGCCGGCAGGTCGGAGGCTCGGACCTCCGCTGGCACTGTCTGTATGGGTTTTGTTTCGTGTTCGGAGTCCGGAGCGCGGGAGTACTACTACTAGTAGGTAGTAACTAACTAACTTGACAAGTGGGTAGAAGGTTAGTAAGCGGTAGTTATAGGTGATCACTGATGTCCGAGAGAGAGAGGGAGGTAGAAGAGCGTGAGACAAATAATACAATTACTAGTTAAAAATTTGAGTATTGAGTTGTCCTCGTGCCTTATAGGGTAACGTTTGTTTTTGAATCTGGAACGAACTAAAATGGTCCATGAAGATACCAAAGGAAAGAGAAGCACAAAATTAGAAAAGCATAATTGGATGGTTGATGACGGAGGTGGAAAGAACCGAAAGTTACGAATACCCAGTACGACGGCGTTCCCGGGAAAGGTGATAAATCATTACTAGTGGTACTGGAGCCTCGGGCGTCGTTTAGTCCCGAAGATCGCCGTCTAGGCTTGTTTGGGGCATGACTGCGAATATTGAAGTTGCCATGTCGGTATCTTTAGAACAAATTTCCATGGATCGCCTCTTCAAAAGCTAAGGTCCGCTAGGGTGGGGACTCTCATTTTCATGCAAACCCAGCATTTGTCGGGTTTTAGTCAATCTTCGATCCTCTACTTACGGTACATACATACCTGCAAAAGAACGACAGCTCTGCGGAGCTTCCATGGAATTGTCGCCGAGGAGTGTGAGAGTAAATACTTATGTGATGATGATTACGGAGTATGATTATTATTCTTGAGGAAGTGGATCACTGACTCAGTGCTTTTGATTTGTTTTATTGAAATTTTACTTTTCTTTTTTTCTTTTTTTCTTTTTTGCCCTACTTCCATGATCCCCTCTTTTCAGTTCATTTTCTGATTTGATTGATCGTATTACACAGTACTTGACCGCTATATTGACCCCATCCATCTGACATGCAACCCGGTCTTGAATTTTTTTTTTCTTTTCTTCATTTCAACTGCATCCACTCGCTTTCGTTTTTGTTACATACACATACAATCGACATACCTAAGTATTAAGGCTTCGGTCACCCGCATTGTTCCAAGTACAATAGTTCATACAATTCGAACTTTCTGCCCCTACTTACACGTCTCTCCCTTGCATATTTCCCCCCGTTCCGTTGCACATTACGATACCTACTTTCTTAGTATTGTACAACAATACAACCGTGCCCCATCTGACTACTAGTACATCTTCTACTCCTTCCTCATATTCAGCCTCCCCTCGTCTCTTAACAGTTTCTCCAGCACAATTGCTGTGCAGGTCACACCTGAATTCTCACTGATCCTCTCCTTTCACCCCCTTTTCCTTTTTTCTTTTTTTTACTGACTCCATAACTGTCGCGCGTCATCCCCCACTACCCACTACGTATATAGCTTGAGAACAAGTGATCAGCGTGAAGCGCCGCTATCTCCGAGTGATACAACTGGGTTTCGGTCCGCCGTTGTTTGTCGATCTGTCAATGCTCGTCTTGATGGACAGCCAAAGAGGGTTTCGCATCTCATGAAATAATAATGCTATTTAATTTGGGCCTGACAGCACATGCAGCAGCGGCTCACGAGAACGACGCTGGCCCTCTACCTGAGTCGCAACCTTCGGGGAATTTAAATCGTCATTCCTCGCCACCGTCGGTTTCATTTGCGACATTTCCGACAATGGGTTTGGGGAGTTTTTACGGCCGGTATAAGGGCTCAGAGACAGAGCGATCCCATAAGGGGCCACCGCGGGCGATGTCTGCAAGCCCGGTGGCGTCGGTGGTTTCGAGCGATGGAGAGTACTCGACAGCAGGGACAGTCTTCAGTCAAGCCCGGAACACCCGCGCGCAGACATTTAGGAAACAATCGTCGCGGCCTAAAACAATCTACCAATTAGCTCACCCCGCGTCCCATGCACGTCATAAGCGACTGAGGCTCCGACCCAAGCTTCTTCTGCAGCTACAGCGAGTATCACAAACCCCACGCCCCTTGCCTGTCTTGGATGTATTACCGTCCACCGTATTTTTACCCAGATTGTCGCGCAAGTTCCCCACGATTTTCCGAGGCAAGAAGGGATTGGGTCCAAATGATTTGATTGTCGTGACCAGCGATCTTTATGAACGATCGGGCGGGGATATTGCAGATAAGTATCTCAGCTCAGACGAGGAACACGGCGAACATCGTGATGTCGTCGCAACAATTTGCCAACTTCTCAAGGAGGATGCGTTGTCGAAAGGGAAGGCGGAAATTTGTCTCAATTACGGCCCGGTGTGGGAAGCGACGCCCCTTCCCAATGGGTCCTACGAGTTTGTGGCCAACACCGAAAATGGTATTCAGATCCTGCGTTGGGTACTTCGCGGAGCACGGAATCGCCGCATCTCTGCACCCCCTGGAACCGCGCCCCAGGAGGAGACCAAACGATTCACTTTTAGCGTCATCAACCCCAACACCCGTCGTCACCCCGTCATCGCGACTATGGCTCGAAATCACTTGGAAATACTTGACGAGTACGCGATGCCCACGGCATCCGGACTTCCTCTGTCGCCAACGTCTACGATGTCTGTGATCAGCGATGATTCTGAAATGGACGCCTCCTTGGACAAGAAGGTCATTGAGACGGACGATAATCTCCGCACGTTGATCATCATCACTAGTATTTGGGTGGCATTCAGAGAAGGCTGGTCGCATTCTTTCACTTATGACGATTCAGCTGTGACTTTCAATGCAGCGCTTTCCCCGTCTCGACAGCCATCTCCATCTGCAGTTAGAACCGAGAATGATTCGATACCCGCTGGAAGGGATAATGGTTCGGCAAGGCTGGCATCAAATGGCTCGAGGAATCGCACATCGGTGCCGAATGGCTCATCTTCCCAACCAAACGCGCCGCCAGACCGGTCCATAGCATATGGTAATCTGACTAAGCGCTCGAATTCAACAGGCGCCGCTTTCATGGAGCGAACCAACCGACGTGCTTCTGGAACCGTTGGCCGACCTAAAAGACATAGTTTGCGTTCAAGTCCTCGCGAACAACTGGACCAGAATGGAAACAGCCCAGTAGAACAAAGTAATGGAAGTCCCACAACACAGTCTGCAGCCCCGGATCCGCCATTGGATAGCTCACGAGGTAACGGTAGTTATCAACTACACCAGCTTGAGCCATCCGATCTAAAGGCTAAACAGCTGGGCCGAAGCAGCTCCACGAGGAGATGTCGACGTCGGCTGAGCAATATTTTTGATTTCCTGACTCGAAAGCACCACTAATGGAATCCGGTGTTTCTATGATGGCTGGTGGACCAGGTCTCATCCGGTTACATGACACCTAATTCAGTTCTACTCTCCCTCTAGTAGAGGTGAAGATGAGTCCACTTTTGGGCTCCATTTTGAACATATTTTCATCCCCGGTGGCCAGGTGCTATGAAGGGGTCTTGGAAAAGCTCAAATCAATTTGCATACGGTCTCCGTGGTTTCTTTCTTTACACAGCACTCTCACCTCTCCGCAGCGCTGTGATCCTCGACGATCCAGAGCGACTGTGCCCTTCGTTTTTGACCCAATTAGGATTTGTATATAGAAAGATCAACAACCAGTGGTAAATACACTTGAGATATAGGGTTTTATATGACAATATCCTTTTGTCTTCGGATTGCATGTACCTAGGAGTATCGGATATTCACGCATTATAACGCACACATTGAGGTACCTGGGTTTATCATTGACCTAAAGATACATTCTAATAATGAATTATGAACAAATATACCCTGCACATGTTGTTTCATTGTTTTTCTAGTTTACCGCTCAAGAGCAGACAAAGCCTTAGGAATATAGGGTTCCTCCAGATACTTGATCTCCTCATCGGTCAACTTGACCTGGATGCTAGCAACAGCTTCATCAATGCGCTCCTTGCTGTTCAAACCCAGGATGGGATTTTCATTAGGGTGACTCAAGGACCAAGCAATGGACACCTGCGCCATGCTGACACCCTTCTTCGTGGCAAGCTCCTCCACTCGGTCGACGATCGCCTTGTCGGCCTCGGACTCTCGGCTCCGGACAAGGAGTTTGAGCGCCGCATCGGTGGACTCACGGATCGTCGAACGAGAATCCCACGGCCGTGCCAGAACACCACGCGCCATAGGAGACCAAGGGATCAGACCCACCCCGGAGTCAACACAGTAAGGGATCATCTCGCGCTCCTCCTCCCGAGCCAAGAGGTTATGATAGTTCTGCATGGAGATAAACTTGTGCCATCCGTTCCGTTCCGCGATGTTTTGGAGCGTTTGAAACTCCCACGCGGCCATCTGGGGGCAGTCAGTATCGCGTAATGAAATCTCAATAAGTCAAAAGGAACAAGTTTTTTTTTTTTAAAAAAAAAAAAAAAAAACCTACAGTACTAGCTCCAATGTATCTGACTTTCCCGCTTTCAATCACATCGTTGAGCGCCCTCATGATCTCCTCACGGGGCGTGTCCCGGTCTAGACGGTGGATTTGCAATACGTCGATGTAGGTGCCCAGTCTGCTCACGCTGGCATCCACCGCATCGAAAATGTGTTTCCGGGACAGCCCAACACGGTTGACCCAGTGGCCGTCATTCCGGCCTGCGGCGGAGATAGGAGGTTGCTTGCCTCCGTCGTCTACCCCGAAATAGCACTTGGTCAGGATAACCACGCGGTTGCGGGGGATGTTGTACTTTGTCAGGGCCTTTCCAATGATTTCCTCGGAACGACCATGAGAGTAGACGTCGGCCTATTTCCATTTGAGGGGGATCTACGGGTTAGTGTGATTTTTTTTTTCTTTTTTCCTCTTTTCTTTTTTCTGGGTTTGGTTGCGCATATTGCATGATGTGATCGGGGTAGAGTTACGCACTGTGTCCCAGGTGTTGATTCCACGCTTGTATGCGTGCTCGATCAAGGGAAGGGCCTCGTCCTCGTTTAGTACCCAGTCCTGCCATTCCTTGGTGCCGTAGGACATGGTGCCGAGGATGACTTTGGAGATCTTGAGGCCAGAGGTTCCGAGTCTGGTGACACATTCTTTGTTAATGGGGCTTATATGTATACTTGGCTAGATGCAGTGGACGTACCGGGTGTATTCCATTTCGTTAGCCATGATGTTGTTCTGCGTTCAGGGTATTTTCTGTGATGGTCAATGGTCAGTAACAATCAACATCTTCATGTCAAACTATGTAGCTCAAAGCGGGCGGCGATCATCATTTCACACGTCACTGTGGCGATCCACCGGTCACTTTCATTCAAAGGGGGTTTTTCTTACACAACCTTTCACAAATATGTAGCGATGGAGATTAACCTGGAGAAACACAGAAAAAGAAGGACACTAGGAAGGCAAAATACGAAGCTATCGCAAGAAGATTGACTTCAAGATAAGGTGGATAGAAATGATTCCGCCTTGGTTTTTCAGCATGTTTGCTTCGCAGCTCCACTCTTCTATCTGCCGAATGTATGAAGCGATAGACTGCAAAGCCGACGGATAACCGATTACACCAGTCTCCCCCGCGGTAACCTTCGGTCTTTGCCTGGGTGGCTTCCGCGAGTCGGGGTGCGTTGTCGGCATCGTTTGTTATTGCTTTCTTTGTCATGATAGACATGTTGATCTTGGTAGTAGTAGTTGTGTTGGGTTTTTTCTTGAAGAGGTACGTGGGGCTCCCGGGGCTTTTATCGGTGTCTGGCTGACCCTATACACTTTGATGTAAAAAAAAAAAAAAAAAAAAAAAAAAATTTGCTATACTAACTACCAAGAATAGATGGTCAGAGCGACAGAGAGCTTCGGAATGCTCCACTTTACTCGTTATGCTATCTAGAGTATGTCTCATAAACATGTAGAGGGCCTCCACTAGTCTCTCTTGCTTCGATATAAGAACACAAGCTAAGCAAATCATCCAATATAAAAGCTCTCGCAAAGTCCGGTGAAAACGTGAATGAACCCAGATCCAATTAGGGTATCTAAAGTAAGCTGACTGAGAAAGAATACACCTGACTATTCCAAGAGTGTAGCCGCCAAGGGCCCTTGGAAAAGTAGTATTTGTTGTTAGACCAACAGCGATGGCAGCGTTTAAGAAAGTCCGGAACAGGATGATCTGAATACGGTCCCTGACCAATCCAAACCCTATAATAAATATCAGAGAACACATAGACAAATCTATCAACGATTCAAAGCAGCTTTTAGACAACTTTGGGTTCGGTGGTAAGAACTTCGAAGCTAGTCTATCCTCGTTATCTCGGAAGTAAATGCATGTCCCCAAGGCGTCGAAATCCAAGCTGGGTATATTAAGGATACTGTGTCAGTGCCAACGACCCTGATCTAAGCAGTGATTCGTACGTAGATCTGATGAACAACGATATCTTGTTAGCAAGTAGTTGGGAGAGATGATTCCATTGAACATGTATTGTAAACGAAATCCAAGTACAACTTAGCCGAGGACCGGTTGATCCTCCCTAACTTTCCGAGTTCCGACAATTGATCCAGGCACAACGGGTTTGAAAGGGTTCATACTGACAAATACGAGGACATCAAATCTATCTGCCTGATGCTTGACGATGCATGCACAAGATAATCAGGCATCAACCGACGCATCTCCGCTTCGGCCGGGGCCATACCAGATTGGGATGCAAAGCGGATCCGCAAGGTTCCCTTGGCTTCCCCATTAGGCAATGAAATCGCTCAAACCGCTGGGATTGCAGACGTGAAACGAGGCTACGACTGACTCTTTCCCTCTTCTCTTCGGCCTCCTCTTTCTCTTCCTCCTCTTCCCTCTTTTACTCTTTTCCTTCCTCCCCACTCATACATACACAATCTTTTGTCAACCTGACGCCTCATTCCTTTTCCCCCCTTCTTCAGGCTGAGTTGCTTACTACGCGTCTCTCCCTCTCTCATTCTATTTGGTCTTATTGACTTTGGAGAGAAATGACTGCTATGAGTTTGACGTCTATGAGATTCACAGTGCTGGAATATTTACAGCATAGCCACTGAGACGATACTAAGATCTTTCAGACAGCCACAGGAATACCCATCCAAAAACACCTCAAATATACCTGGACACTCGCTGAAAGGAATAACGCAAAGAAAGAAAACAAAATCCGTCGAAAAAAATGTCAGGACCCCTATCACCGAGTTCCTTCCCTAAGCCTCCGTCTTGAAGGCCACCAGTCGCCTCTTGATCTCTTCCTCCGAGTCCTTGGTGTCTATATCCCGGAGCATACCACAGGCGACATCATAAATGAGGCCGTGAACCTGGAGACCCCGCTCTTGCATTGCTTCAAGCACTACAGCCTTCGACTTCAATAGCTTGACACCTTCCCGGACGTTTAGCTCCGCCATCTTAACGGTCGCATCCTCCGGTGACAATGTCTGCAACAGTGCAAGGTTCTGCTCCCGGATTTGGCGCAGAGGCAGCAGCCATGGATCCAGGATACCGAGTTGCTTGTTGCCAAGGGCAGCTGCGATACCACCACACTTAGTGTGGCCAGAGAGCACGATGTGGTTGACCCGCAGATGACGGACGGCATATTCGATGACTGCACCTGAGCTGAGATCGCTGGCGTGCAAGATATTGGCGATATTCCGATGGACGAAGACATCACCAGGCTTGAGGCCTAGAACAACCGTCTCAGGGCATCGAGAATCGGAGCAGCCGATCCAAAGAATTTCGGGGGATTGGCCATTGGCAAGCGTGGGAAACAGGTCCGGATGTTCCAGGGCAGTTCGGGCAGCCCACTCCTTGTTTGCCTGCAGCGCGGTGGTGAATCGGTCTGGAGAGTAATTAGTCTCCGCTTGCGACATGTCATGTTTGTCGCACGATAGCGATGCAGAGGTTGATAGGGAAAGACGTTGAGATTGGCCGATAACGGGGTTGGTGCGGGCTCGGACTAAGGGAAGACGGGCGCTTCCACTGCAGCCCTGAAATTCCCTCACCGCCGCTAGGGGACGAAACAATGTTTGAGACTGTGGTACCAGCCTTGCGAGATTCATCATGATGGCAGATATGTTACAGGTAGGTTGTCACAGGGTGAAATAGCAAGGTGTCACGATGGGCCCGGCAACGAATGACTCAACGGACTCAACGGGACGGGGAGAAGGGGCTGGGGCAAAAAAGAAAAGGAAAAAGAAAAAAGCGGCCAGCAAGCAAAGTCCAGTCACCACCAGTCCCTCAGCCTGTCTTTGCAACGATGCGTTCAAGCTAAGAATTATCGACAAAATGAAGAAACGAAAATACCCTGCCAAAGAAAGGATACAGAACACGAAAGGAAGGCAAGGGAAAATGGTAGAAAAAGAGGGCCCGTCCTCCAGCGACGATATCCGAAAATGCCAAGAAGGAAAACGAAAAGAGACATGACCCGTTAACATACCTGGCATGGTGCTTTAGGGCGACGTTATTCTAACGCGATATCGAAACTGGTTCACAACGGATGTCGAAGCAGATGATGTTAAAAGAGTCGTTTAAGAAGAAGAGAGGGATCTTGTTGGGGAAGAAGAATGTTGTTTCTGTCTTGGCAGACGGTGCCGCGGAAAAGGAACGCAACAGAAGGCGACTTTATAACGCCCGGTGAGCGGCACATATCGGGAAATACGGCAAAGTCTGTGGGCAGATCCAATCCCACCCCTTTCGAGTCTATCTATGGACGTTGCGTGATTGCACGAGTGATTTTATCTCACTTCTCCCATATTTAGATATCTCCTGCCAATTCTTGGGGGTAAAATCTCGCACCCGACAGGAACTTTCCTTGTCCCCTGAGGCATTTTCCCACGTGGATCAAAGGTGTGGGGTGTGACCTGAACATATCGGGTAATACAAAGCAGCCAACTGGATTGAATTGAACATAATCGATGTCATATTTTTCCCCACCCCCTATTCGTTCCTTTTCTATATATACATTGTGCTTTCTACAAATACCGCATCCGTAGTTTTTATCACTCGAAAAAAGAAAAATAAGAAATTCGAAAGAAACGAAACATGCATCGTTGAAACAGAAAAAGGCGCTACGTTTTCAATAGATTCATGAGCTGCCTCCACGGCCACCAACATTGGCCAAGGCCTGCTTCTGGTCGTCGCTGAGCTGGACCGTGGGTAACGGCCGAGCTGTCGAGGACGCAGGCGGCGAAGGCAAGAATCCGATCGTGATCAGGTAGGCCGCGTACAGACCGACCAACTCTTCGGTCACGCCGGCCCCAGCGGAGGCATCAACGCCGGACCAGGCGGCATCTGCGCGAAGGGAAGCAGCGGCATGAACATCGTCTAGTTCGGGGGCCTTGGTGTTGGATGGGAGATCAGCGGTCACAAAGTGGTAGAGGGGCATACTAAACCCAGTCATTAGCAATTGATTTCCAAACCTTGCTGTGCGATTGACATTGAACTTACAGTGCATGCTGGGACTCAGGGTCGTCGTGCTGTCCGTCGTTGACATATTGCTCAAGCGACTGTGCCCACGGGACGTAGTCAACCTGAGGCACGTTGTAGCCGTACAGCTGCAGTGCTCCCAGGAATTGGTTGAACCGAAGACGTGGGTGTCCAGTCACCTGTGCAACACCAATAGGCGTGCATGGAGGCTGGAAGGCACCGGCGATGACAACGCGGGCAACGTGATCGACGGGGACCATATTGACAGTGTTGTTAATATTAGGACGGGCAGAAAGCTGAATACATCCCTTGATCATACGGATAAGGAAGTCATCGGTGTTCGTAGCTGGTGAGATGAGTTGTCAGCATATAGAGACTTAAGACGATGGTGCGAAGGACTTGGATACTTACTCCCGGTCTGAGAGTCACCGAGTACGTATCCAGGACGGATAATAGTTCCCTTTAATCCTCTCCTACCCGCCTCTCGGACAAGGTACTCTCCTGCCCATTTGCTCTGGCCGTAACCGGTTCCAAGGCCTACGCTGCTGCCCTCCAGATCATCATCTTCGCTGATACCGGCCCCTCCAGCCGCAATACTACGTTCAGACTCTTCGACATAGTGATCACTGTCAAGCACACTGGTAGAGCTGACAAAGGAGAACTGCTTAGGCTTTCCAGTGGAGCAAAGCTTCAGGGCGTCAATAGTACCCATAACGTTGGCAGGCTTGAGAGTAGAATAAGGATACACCCAGTGGACAAGGGCTCCGTTATGGATCACCGCATCGACACGGTTCGTCAGGTCATCCCACAGCGCTTGAGAGAGACCGAATTGAGCGTCTCCTAGGTTACCGCAGACACACTGAAGCCGGCTGGTCCATGCTTCATCCCAGAAGCCGTATGCTTGGCAGGTGGACCGGATACGCTCTAGTGCTTGCTCCTCGGTCTTTCCTCGAACCAAAGCCACAACCTTCGCCGAGGGAGACTTACGGGTGAGGAGATCGCGAAGAATATGCGCGCCCAGAAATCCAGTACCACCCGTCAGGAAGACGGTTGGCTCTCCAGAGAGAATAGGCTCTGTCCTTTCGGGGAATGCCTTGGGCAGAGCGTCTACTAGCTTCCGAGCGTCCTTGGAGTACTCGTCATCATGTGTACTAGAGGTATCTGGAGCTTCAGCGGCTGTCTTATTGTCACTGGCCGCGAAAGATTCAAAATTCAACAAGCGGTCAATCTCGGCAGCGAACCCTCTGAGGGTAGGACTGCGGAAGATGGCGTTCATACTAATGTCAACGCCACGCCACTTGCGCCGAAGATCGAAGAACATCTGCTGAGCCA